AAAATCAAATGCTGTCCTCGGTGAAGTGAACTATTGCCAAAGTTTCGTTGAACATACAATAGTTTACTGAAATTTGGATCTGCTTTTAGCAAAATTTCGGGATAAAAAACAATCACTCTAATCTTATCGAATCAAATCTAATTGTAAAAATCTCAAACTGCGGAAATCAGCTAAATAATTTTACGAAATTTACGGCATTCACATTTTACTTTGGGGCGACCCCGGCGTACTGGTTAGCATCCAAACCTCTCACGCCAAAGTCACGAGTTCAAATCTCACCCCCGGACAAGTCACGAATGACCCAAGAGCGTTAAAATGACTGTAATAAAAAAAAAAAAAAAAACATTTTACTTTGCCAAAAATACTTAAATAACTGTCAGAATGGTGAAAGTGGTAGACAACCATAACAAAATGTAAAATTGTATCCTACTTCTTTTATTTCTCTTTAAAATATCGACCATAGTTACAAATAACAGTAAAAAAAAACCGCTGGGATTAAAAAAAAAAAACGATAAACGGTAAACAAATTTTTTACAGTTGTGGTAAATTTTTGCTTTGCCGATCTCACGGTGATTGAATGTTTTACCGAGATGTTTGCCGATGGATGTTGCATACTCGGCACTTTTTTTTGGCCGGGCTCGGCGAAAAAATCTAAATGTATGCTTTTCTCAATCAATCTTAAAATCACAATTTCAAAATAAACGATACAAACATAATAGACCGCACACTCGACTGGTTCAAGCTTACGATTCTTACTCAGATAGTCAGTCACTTCTACTCATTGTTATGGACCTTGGTATGGAGATATTTCTAAAAGTGTAGGCCACTCAGCGCTGAGTGACCGACGGTTTTAAAAATGTATCCATACGAATGGCTCACTTTCTGAGCTAGATTCGTTTTCAGTGTAGTTCGTGTGACGAAAAGGGAGTCTCAGGCTGAGACGAAGACTCTCAGTATCATACTGTTCTTTAATACATGTGGTTGAGCATTCAAATCGATTTGTTCGAGTATGGTTAGGCAATCGATTATCCCTTGCAAGGTATCGGAAATGAATAAAACCCTAGCAGCGTCTTTTCGGGCCGATAGAGGCTCCAAATGAAGCAACTGACATCGACACTAATCATAGCTAGGCAAATGAAGAGGATCGCTCCTAGGTAATAGGCGGAGGGCGAAGCGTAAGATTCGACGCTGGAAGGATTCCACCTTTTTAACACCATTGCTGTAACTTGGATTCCAAACTGCTTAACAATATTCAAGTACTGATCGAACCAAAAAGAAGTATAATGACTTCAGGTAATAAATATCGGTAAAGTGTTTGGTTATTCTAAAGATAAAACCTAGCGTTCGGGAAGCTTTATCGACGACATATGAAATATGCTCAAAATCAAAACTTCAAAATTTTGGTCGACTTAAACTAAACGTATTATTTTAATAGGGCGTTGAAAAAAACCTGAACACCTCTCATTTTGAATATGTGTGCGTGCAGAATGATGCCTTTTTCTTTCTTTTTTTCTTTGTGATTGTATAATAAATTTGTTCTTCAGTAATCAAAATGGCGTCCAAGCAAGAGGAGCAACGCATCAAAATGTTGCACGCACATCGCAAAAATCCAAACTACTTGCACGCCGAGTTAGCGAAATCGTTTAAAGTGACCCAATCAATTGTCACCAACCAGTGATGCAAAATATCATGACACTCACTTGACACTCGTCAACGCATCGACCGACTATCGCTGACAGAACGTTTTGTCACGCAGTGAGAGGTAGAGCCATGGCAAACAACAATCACCAGTAATGGTCACTGCTCACAGGCAAAACGTAACACTCGCTGCTGATGATGTAAAGCACAACGAAAACAATGAAGACTTCTGCAGTACGATGATGAGAAAAAAGTGAAACGACAGAAGAAAATGAAAACAATGTCTACGCATTTCAAGTTCGTCTCGGCACGCGCGATTGTGTGAGTTACAAACAAAGCTGCCAATACTAAACGGAAGCTGTTGGGCTCACTCTCCAACACACTCACATAAGCAAGCAAAGCAGCAACTGCTTCAAAACGAGCACAGATGAGTGTCGTGATTGTCGGGAATGACCAGATCGGTGATGGATTACCACCGAAGACGACATTCACCAGTTGCTTTTTACTTCTTTCGTCAACTTGATGGATGGTCATGGAGAGTGCTTCGACAAGCACATTGATAGGAATGTACCAAGCGTTACTACCATCAGCTGTTTGGCGATCGTGATTGTGATAGATCGCAACTCTGTCACCAACGTAATAAAAGTGTCCGGGGAACGTTTGTCAATAGCCAGGTAGTGGAAAATGTCATCTATCTGATGGTAGTGTTAGCATGCGTGTGCGAGGTACCAGTTATGCCAAATCGACAAACAAATGCATTGTTTACAAAAGCTGATACGTCCCTTTGAAAAAGTAATCGAGATTTCGTTTGCTTCCTTTTTTATGAATAGGAAACATGTGAGAAAATTTCTAACATGAAGTCACTATTGGAATACATGACAAAGCGCAGTCAACAGTTATCGATGTTCCTCTTGAGGTAAATCGACGGAATTTCATAGGGTCCTGAGTTACAAGATGATTAGTCGACAGATCTCCTGAGTTGTGGATACCACTTCACCATCAAACATAATAGACGATGGAAGACCGGACTCCTTTCGCTACTCGTTTTCATAGTTCCACAGGGACAGAAAATTGCTTGCATTGAACCAAAAAAAAAACTTATTCACATAAATTCAAAATAAGTTTCTTTTTCTTTTAATAAACCACTTTTCAATTGCAACTATTGTAAAAATAACAATATTCTTTTATTAAGCCAACAATAATTAGCTTTAATTTAGCATTAATATACAAGGTGAATACAGTCAGCAAAATAGCTCTTAGGTATACCACTATGCGTCCATGTTTTAATTGCATGCTTTGTAAATGCTTTGTGAACTACGCATTCGATTAATATATTCCACAACACTTGTTCAGTCTAACAACAAGATGAAATCAATAGAGTATTGGTTACCGTTTCCACTTTTCAAATAGAAGGTCGCGAGTTCTATCCCAAACTTCAACCCTTTTTTATATTTGTGTTCTAAATCGTAATCATCGATCACATCACTCACGACAACAAATTCATTGATTTAGTTTAATAAATAACCCAGCATCCTTTTCTTAGAAATTGGAGAGGTGAAGACGATGAATGAATTAGTGATTCCCACTGGACCTTGGGACGATCGGAAGTGCTGATAGGTATTCAGTTTCAAACAAGCTTTTATTGAATATTGAGCAGCCCATATTTCCTTGCGAAGGAAGGCATGATCAGAGATTTTATACCTTAGAAAATCCAGGCAACGCTCACTGGAATTGGACCCTGGCCCTATGGGGTGAGGTTCTATTAATTGATTTAAATCTACGTCTGGAGCGATGAGCTTCTTTCCCGATGAATTATCCTCGGTTCGTGTCTGTTGATGGTGTTTGCCAAAAGTTCGTGCCGCTTCCTCGAAATCGTCCCAGTCTAACCTGGAATGCAAGTCAGTTAACTGCAGCGTCAGTAGCGGCGCCGGTGGTGTAGTGGTAAGCGTGATTACCACTCACCCTGTGCAGGCCTGGGTTCAATCCCAGTCGGCACCGCCGGGATCTCTGATCACAAGGGAAGTAAAGCCAAGAAGTTGATGGGTTGAGATAGGGGTAGGGGGTCCAGGTGTGGGAGCTCCCTGGCGTCGGTAGCATTGGTACTCACCACGGAAAACAAGATCGACGGAAAACAAATAAAGAAAAAAAAAAAATAAAAAAATCATCTGCCCTTTTTTGCGAGCTACTATTACATACACACTTAGAAAAATTCATGTAAAGTTAGGTGCTCTGAGATTGACATATGCGAGCGACAATTTTGACATAAATATAAGTCGTAACAGACGCAAAATATATCTCAAACAAACGTACTTTTCGTCGAGCAACGAACTTTTCAGTCTCGGAGTCGGAGCACTCAATATTACATGACATGTTTGTTTACGACTCATCTTTTATGTCAAAGATGGATTCTGTCACGTGTAAAAATAGTTATTTCAATGTGTGTCGAAAGGAACAAAAAGACGATATTATTGCTGAATATTCCATAATTTTCCTCTGGAGCCGTCTTGAGCTGACGAAAACACCTCAGAATCAGTAGAAGATTTGTTTCCCATATGCCCCACTAGTGTGTGTAGACTGAAGCCAATTTCAACTCTAAACGACTACAACATTCGTAGTTATCAAACGTTTTAGAGGCTTTTAGAGACGATTTTTCGATTACTTCGTCAGAAGATCAGTAAAACACGGTTTGTTTCCCAAATAGCGCTAATACCATAGAGGTAACTCTAAGACCACTGGGTCCCGAAGAAAATCATTATTATTTTTGGCTCACTCAGTACCAGAACAACGGTCCCAAGCAGTCCCAAGCTATTTCACTCACCCCTGCATGTTCTGCATGAATCCACACACCCCTGATGTTATCTGTCAAACTTTCATAGCGAATCAAAACAAACATAGTGTAGTAATAGAATTTCAACTAGAATAGGGTATGTTAATCGTTTGCTTGGGACCAATAGGCTACTAAAGTGGTGAGCCAATTTAAAATCGTTAGTTTCGTATTGATTGTTGCTAATACTGGGTTAATGAACAAGTTACAACATACGACATTGTAATTGTATTTTTTTTCCTTTGGTTTGTTTTTTTCCGTCGATCTTGTTTTCCGTGCTGAGCACCGATGCTACCGACGTGCCAGGAAGGCAGCTCCCACACCTGGACCCTACCTATCGACCCATCAACTCATGAACCGGGGACCAACGGCTTTATTTCCCATCCGAAGGAAGGCGTGATCAGAGATGTTATGCCTCAGAACATCCCGGCGGCGCCGACTGGGATTGTACCCAGGCCTGCTGGGGTGAGAGGTAATCACGCTTACCACTACACCACCGGCGCCGTTATTGTAATTGTATTTGTATTTGTATTTATCTAGTGTAACGTTAGCCTGTAGTTGACACTTTTTACCAGCTCAAGGAAGAATACATTATTGACCTTCCTAATGCATTAGGAAAAAATTACACAGCGTTTCCAGACCAAAACTAATCCCAATGCACTTGGAAGGTTAAAGAAGAACTCACTTTAGGGAAAACTAAAAAATGCTGCAAGTTGTAACTAAAGTAATGCTATACCTACATATGTGTAAATGTTAATAAAGTTCATTACTGTCCATCAGGCGTGTTCAGACATCGCTTGAATAGCATTAAAGTTGGTTGTTGTTTGGCCGCAAGTGGTAGATCGTTCCATGTGAGCGTCCCTGATACGTAAACTGAAAAATATTGAGAATTTGCTGTGCGATCGATTATGTTTTTCACGGTGTAGTTATTCATTTGACCAACTCCAACCGATCTCATCACTAAATTGCTGGTAAAAATAATGACTCAAGTCTACGTTTTGTTCAATTAATATAGAAATACATATTCATGGGCTAAACCATGAAACATGTAATTCTAAAAATCAAGAAATATAGACGTGAATCAATTGATCCCAATGCCTCCATCACAAATGTCTTAAAGTTATCCAGTTATTTGTTGATGTGGGTAGTTATCTATCATTATGAATTAACTAATTTAGTGCTATAATTCTTAAAACTAAATTTTGAGCAATATTATCTTAATGTCATCTACAAAGGTCTACTTTCTAGCGAAACACATGCTTAAAACACAACAAACAAATGATTTCAGCTCACACGAAATTGTTAAGCTCTGTTTTGAATGTTTAGTCATAGCTGTTGTACGTAATCATATAGATAATCTTAATGGCTCACAGCTCAAAAGATTTTTGTTTTTTCTGGCGCATTTTGATTTTTTATTTTAATATTGGGAAGAGATATCAAAAAATTCATGATTAATTTTTTTCATAGGTTCCTGAAAAATTCACAAGCAAACATATTTTTTTTTTCTTTTTTATCATGAAAAAAGTAGGACTTCAAACCATACGTAAAGGTCGTTTTTTGTGGACTCAAAATCCAACTTTTTGCCATGAAATGTTTTTACTCGTAAAGTTTTTTTTTTAAGAATTGGAGAAAAATCAAAACGTATTCTTGTTTCAGAGTGGTAAGCGTTCCGTTAATGTTTTTTTTTTTAATGAAAACAGTGGCATCATCATAAGAGTCAATAACGAATCGAATTTTATTTGAACTGCTTGTATGGAAATGTCTTTTCAATCGACTCTCATAATGTGGCACCAGATGCCATAGAAATGAAATTGATAACTTGTATCTATATTACATAAATAATATGCATTATAGTTGCTGCAGCCGAGGTTAAGGAGCTAAAGAGTTTGCTACTCTCACAATACATAAGGATGTATAAAGTTATTTCCTATTGTTAAGTTCCCTTTATATAAAGATAGGAAGCAGGTGTTTTCGTATTAATTTTCTACCAGACACTTTCTGTTAATGATGATTTTCTCTCCACTTTTTATTCACTCTTTTATCGTTCGTGCTTATCTCGACTTTATGTTCCCTAATACCATTGTTTCTTTCACCTTTTTCATTCAGCGTATTTTTCCGCTCTCCGCTCGTTGCCCTCAATTCCTGAATAGAATGTCTCCATCTTTGCAGTTCCTCGTGTTATAAGTATACTCACCTCCGTGTTCATCTCGGGCTCCTTTTTTGTTTCATAATAAACACATTTTCCCGCACACCATCCCTTGCAAGACGAGATCGCTGTACTGAGCTTTGGGTAAGCGTTTTAAAGTTTTTTATACCAGTAGAGATAATGTTCGCCATCCTCCACGAGCAGTTCATCAACGCCTAAGGTACAAAGGCACGCATTGAATGAGAAACAGAGGGAGGAAGAAAGACGATTAAAAAGTGTACAAAAGTTTAACTAGTGTAAGTTTAATTACTGTCGGACAAAGTTTCTTCTGCCACACAAAAAGAAAAAAAAAAATAGTGTAAACTTTTCGATATGCTAATGAACCAATCCATTTCAAGCTTAACCCATTGAGTAGATACCTGGCATAGATCAAGATATCCAAGTATGTATGTAATTTTTCAGGTATGCTTCCCGATTTATATCAACGTCACTAATATGAGTGCTGTTTAAAACTTCGTTGCACTGGAGAAACCATTACATGCAATTCTATTATTAAGCAATTTTTTTTTTCGTCCGTATTTTTGATCGTGTGATCCCAAATTAAAACCAAATTTGCTACAAGGTTAAACAAAATCAAAAAAAATTTTGAAATCGCTCATACTAAATTAGGACAAAATTAAAATTTCATAAAAACAGAACTTAGTGTATTGTATTATAGTCAACACTCCACAACTCAATACCAGTAACTCAATTTCAAGTTATAGAACCGTAGTAAAAATGGATTTCATGGCTACTGTGATTGTGATTTTGTATGGTCCCTTCGAGTTGTAGAGATTTCGCTGTACTTTACTTTCAAATTGAGATGATAAGGTATGCAGAGATTAAACAATAAAAAAAGATAGAGTGTTTAACACATTTCATACGTTGAAGAAAACCCTAGTTTGAGTGTCTTCGTGAAGCATATTAGTACGTAAGTGAATTGCAGAGAACCACATAATATATTTAGAGGAAGAATATCGCTTATTATTTATTAATTATTTTTTTAACAGGGAAAACTTTGTCTCAGACGTCATTTCGATTTGAAGAGTCGTTCTCTTGGTATGATTCATTGAACAATATTGAATACGCCGTTGTGATAAATTAGAAGAGATCCAAAATGGCAGAGGTCCAGAAAAAAAATCAAACAGTGAAATAATAGGGCTAATTTCAAAGAAACCGGAGAGGGTCGAGTCTTAAATTATACAGTTTTTAAATCAAATTAGCCTAGATTTTTATGTATAGAAATGTTATTTTGAGGATATGTTCAATAAAATAGCTTGTACACTTAAAACTGAGCGGAATCGGCAACTTCTAGTTTTGCTGATATTTTGGCATCATTTCGAATTATTGATGGCACGAATCTTAGAAACTACAAAGATTTAAGAGACGAACTAGCTAGGGGCTGAAAGAAGATACAAAGATTTCATGAATGAAATTATATCAACACTGCACTGCAGCATATGTGTTGATATAATTTCGTACGGAAAATGTTTGTAATTTATGAGATTCGCGCCAAAAATTTGAAGTGGCAAGGTCAGTTGTGGATTCTATCAATCCTATTATCCTTAAAAAAATCTTTTCCCGAGACTCGCCAAAATGACATGATGCAATTCTAATAAACAATGTGAACCGAAAGTCACCAAAGAAGTTTGCTGAGCTCATCAACAAATATCTAAAATGCTGAAAACATAAAATCGAGCATCAAATGCATTTACTCAGATTTCGGCATTTAAACATATATTGTCGAATTTCAGTAGAGCAGCTGTGACCAAACCTGGTCGATACAAGATGTGACATTTTTTTTAAATACTGTATTAACGTGATTTTTGCCCCGTAACGCGGGTAGATCACCTTTTCGTGGTACGTTACGGGATGTAAGATCTACCACCGATTCCTAGTCTTGACTACTTCAAACTAGGGGAACAGGATTTTTCAGTAATCAAAGGAACACATCTTAGTCCTTGTTACTTTTTAAGCCTTGTTGATAGTGATAAGTCATCGGGTTGCCTGGACCGAGGATGATCTTGAAACAAGGAAAAAATTAGTTAGTTAGTCTTCATCTATGTGATTCCTAATCTTCTATTCGTTGTTCCATAGTTGGAAGTGGTAAAGACTAAGGTTCTGATGCATGATCATTATCGGTGTCATTGCTTATTTTTGTTGCTACGGAATCCAATTTTGACTGACAAAGGGGCGCGCCTTTGGAGGGTATTTCAACACTCCGAAGGGTATAAATAGCGGGACCTTTCAATTAGAATCGATTCCTTGCGATGAAGGCAAGAATGACAACTGTATCAAAACCGAATAGTTCATCATTTCTCAATAGTGATGAAGTAATACGACATGCACTAAACTAAGGACACGGGATATACTGCAATAGATCAAATTACTGGTCGCAGTAGTTTTATGTCCCGAACAGAGGAAAAAAAAACGTGATTTTTAGCCTGAGGTTAGTTCATCGCTTAAGGTGTGGCATTGAAGAGCTGAGTGCAGGATTGGCATGCTCAATTTTTCACACAAATTGCTTGTTTGTCAATAACTCTTCACTCACTTACCGAAACATGCTTTTTCGTGAAGAAACTGATAAAAAAGAGTTTTAGGTTTGAAACCATGAAATAATTTTGAAATCGGCCACGACGGGTAACTTTTGATCGCGAATATGAATACCCATGATCCGCAAACACGACGCCTCAGTACTGTTTTGGCCGATTTTGGCGTCGGTTCCTTACTCCAAGGACACGGTAGCCTGGTATAAAGCCGTACCCACGGAGATGAATCCGCCAAACTGTCCCCAGGCCAGGCCAATCGAAACGTTTTGGGCCCTGATTAAAGCATATTTGCAGAAAATTGTAAAGGCAGCGGATTCCGTTACAAAGTTTGCAAAAGACTGGGAAAAAGTATCCAAAATTGTTGGAAAGGAATCTGTGCTGAAGCTAATGAGTAGCGTGAGATCAAAAATCCGCTCCTTGGCTTACGACTGATTTGATCTCGGATTTTCTACGTTTAACTGTAAGAGAATACTATAGAGAACATGAATACGAAATTTTATCAAAATCGTATATCGTCAAGAAGCTAATCACCGTGGCTGCTCCATGCTCCGTGTTTTATTTAAGTAATGCCGCGGATACACTTGCATGATAATATATGAACATGAGCATTATTTGTATAATAAAATATAAGCAAATCCAAAAACTACAACTGTCCAAGTGTGACCATATTTTTGTTTTCGTTCGAACCGTATTTTTCATACAAAAAACATTATTTCAAGACCAACAATTGAAATGGCCTTAACTCCATTTTGTAAACAAACCTTGTAAGGCCATTTTCTCTGTTACAGTTTACTCAACAGATGGCGATACTGTTTTAACGACGATGTTTTACAGTGAGAAATATTCAATGAGTTATGTTTGTTTAAACATTTGAAATGATGGTATCTCAACACATATTTCGTGTGTGACCCAGATTACAATTCAGAAACATAAAAGGAACGTATATTATTATACGGTTAACACTTCTTCCACAGACAAACAGACATAACACTAGCAAGTTGTTCATCGAACAAGTATTTAACGGTCAATTTAAAAGTGTCGTAGTTGGTAGTACCACCACGTGTGGCGCGCATAGTCAATTTCCTTGCGTTTGACGTTTACACACTACCGCCATCTGTTCAGTGTACTACCCACCGCAGTGTACTCAACAGATGGCGGTAATGTTTTAGCGACGATGTTTTACAATGAGAAATATTCAATGTGTTATGTCTGTTTGTCTGTGCTTCTTCTACCTTTTGGCTATTACTTGCCATCTGAAACTTAGAGTTTTAATAACTTTACTCGTATCAATTAAGAGCCCTACAATCAAATAAACTGATTACAAATTTTATTAACTAACACACTTAAAAATAACTAATTTTACACGAGACGTAATCCATCTTCGACGTAAACTATGGACCGTAAATAAACATGCCATGTAAAATTAAGTGCTCCCAAACCGAAACATACGCAACTCGACGAAAAGTACGATTGATTGAATTTATTTTCTCGTTTCTTTCAACTGATTCTTATGTCATTTGGGCCGCATGCATGTGTCGGTCTCAGGGCACGGAAATTTACATGACTTTTTGGTAGTGTGTAGCTTTTAGATGAATATGACGATTTTTGCCTGTGTAAGCTGTTCCGAACCAATTTGTTTTTATATGGGTGCGTTCTAAGTCTGTATCATTTTTGCATTCGTATATTGTGTGATACTTTGATACTCTATGCCCTGGAAAGTCAGGAAATTTCCAAAGCCGACATATTCCTAGACCGGGCGGAAAGCTGAGGAAAATCCCAATTCCAGTAGGTACATTTTACTAAATTTCTCGGATGAGTTGAAAATTCGTCATTAGAAAAGCAGCGGTAAATAATTTTAAGGATAGGATTAACTAGTAGCAAAGACAACATATCAAGACCACTGGCAAATCTCACATTTTCTCATACGGCCGGTATGAGACAGGCTCAATTGCGTCATCTGCCGTTCAAAGGTAAATGTTCCGAACGAATTTGATAGCAAATGTTCCATCCTCAGAACAAATGTTTGCGTATTTGCTTATTTTTCTATGCGTTGTTCCCACCTTCGCTGGCACTACTGCATACGTCACTTGGATTCCGAAAAAGTTGTCAGTCTTCTTGATATGTTGTCTTCGCTTGTAGTTTTCTTGTAATCAGTTAATTAAAAGTTATGATTTGAAAAAAATTATTCATCTGGCATTCCGTTTTCTGCAGACAATAATCTTTTGAGATACAAATTTAGACTTACCTAAAGGTGCGATTAGCTGATTACCGGGAGGGTTTTTCGTATCCGGCTTCTCTGGTAATCGGTACAGCAGCCAGTAGTGGTAGCTATAATTATAAACGATTGATAAAATAAAAGTGCCGCACGTGCTTATTAACAGCTTTTACCTTTTTGGATCTTCTTTCTTCCCGGCGAGCGTGTGCACGTAGTGTCCGTTCGGCCACTCCCGGGCATCGAAATCAAACCTGAATAGATAAGGTCATGACAGTCCTGTGGAAAGCTAAATTTTATATTTTCATGAAATACATACTTGGGATCAATTTCCTTCGCTTGGTTCATTGCCCGGAAAAATGTAGTATTTTTCGGGGAAGTGAGGTCTAGAGAATATTCTTGCGTTACGTTGGTGTCAACCCATAACGTGTAGGTATATGACACATTTTTCGGCTCTGCTTCTTCTACTGAAGACGTTAAACCAACTGGTGCAGCCAGTTTCTGGTCACCATTTTCGTAGTAGTTATCATTTGCATTATCTCGAATCACATGGTCACACTGCAGGGCACGAACAGCCCCTAAACCTTTCCAGCCAAGGGCAAGAATTATGTCAGCTGTGAGTCCCACTCCAATGGTGGCATCCTGTGTAGCGTTAGTTTGAAATGGTATGTTATTTTGTACTGATATTATATCTCGTACCTGACCATCCTGCAATGGTTCTTCAGTCCAGCCGCCGTCTGTTCGTTGCTTAGATAGCAACCATTCTGACGCTGCTGTTCTGTTCCACTTTCCCGCTGGATCTGGTTCTAAATCCAGCAAGGCCTGCATTGCTAGCGCGGTACTTCGCAATGATCCAAAACTGCCCTGAGGCCCCTGAAGGCTGGCGAGGCCACGAGCTGGTCTTCGTATGAAATGTTGCAAATGTCGATGACGATGGTCTGTTACGATACATCGTAACGCCAACAGAACCATGGCGATGGTATCTGAAAAAAAAAACGAGTAGAAAATGAAATGCAGTTCTAAATTACTCACCATATATATACTGACCAACATCGTTAACTTCTCCGCTAGCGATGTCCAACAATCGACGAATCTGTCGTTTTCGAACATGCGTTGCTGAACTGCATACGGCCAGTGCGGTTAGTGCAAATTCATACTCTTGACCTTCTTCGTGTTCATGATGTTCCAGCGTGGAAACTAGGTCATGTCCATAGAAATGGCGAGCATCCTTGCAAAGTGCTCCCAACGTTAAAATATATTTGGCTATGCGATCAGTATTGACTGGTTTGGGCATTACATGGTGCCGGTCGGCCATCGTTAGAACTTCAATTTCCATCTGTTTCACTGACAGCATATCTTCCAAATCAGAAATCTCTTGAACATGATTGTCACTATCAGTTGGATCTCGAGCTCCCGATAACTCTTTAGCTAAGATTACCATGTGCGTGTCATTACCCCAACTATAATCGGGTAGTCGCTTCTCTCGAAGCCAATCGATTGCTTTTTGAATGCCTAGACTTTCCTTCTGGTCTGGTCCGAAGCAAACAATTACAGTTGGATCTTCTGGAATCGGTTCTAATGGATCTTGTTTCGTCGTCGCTGAGGTTGGCGGCAACGTTGGCATTTGCGATGTTGATGAATAATTTGATATGTACGTCGGCGGTAAAGTTGTCATTGTCGATACCGAAGCTGTAACTGTTGTGGATGATGTAGTCACTCCTGTTGATGAGGTTTGTATGTCCGGTACATAACTAGCGGAAGATGGTGTCGATGTTGGTATAAACTGCACCTGATAGGTAGTTGATTGCAATAGTTGTGCTGTAGTTGTTTGTGTGGATTCAGGCAAACTTTGCGTTGTTGAGGCGGTTATCGTTGTTGTGTTCTCTCCCAGTGATTTGGTTAGGAGAAGAAAGGCTACGTTCAAGAATATGTTGAGCCTTAGTTGTGGTGTCATCTTGGTCTGAAAATTATCATAATTTTATTCCTGAGTGATGCTATTCGAATAATTTATTTGTAATGGTAATATGATTTTTTTTATAAGAAGATTGATGATAAATAAAAAAGGTTAAAAAACTATTAAACAACTACATACACACTTAATTTTTTTCGCCAAGATTCCAACAGCCAAGTAGTTCTGCAATTAATTTTGCTGAGATTCAGTAAAACAGTTGCCGAGACTTAGCTAACAAATAACATTTTGCTGAGATATCAGCTAACAAACAGATATTTTGCAGAGATATCAGCAAAAGTAAATGCCGAGGTAATCGGCTGTTGGAGATTTTACCGAGCTAGATTAAGTGTGTATCGTAACGCAGGTAGATCACCTCTTGAGGGAGTGTTGAGGTGTAATATTGGCTGAGGCACAGACAAACAGACGTAACTCTTTGAAAAAGTTTTTCTTAAAAAAAAATTGTATCTCAAAACATAGGACCTCAGTAACGACATCTCTCGGGATTCTCGCGGAAAACAAGCTTGCTCGCTAACTGGCAAACAATATTGCATAAAAGTTCTATAGAATGTATAGAAACGTCAAAGTTATCCGATGCCAGCGCTGCGGCGAGTAGTTCGCGGAACTGATAATATTCAAATCAACCGTTAAATGCGTGAATGAAGATACACAATGAAGAGTTACGTTTGTTTGTCTGTGGTAAGAAAAAAAAACAATCTGAGCAACTACATTCATTAAGAGAGAATCACGCATTGATTTCATGTGTTAATTTCCGTTTCAGGGAAAATAATTCGATGCAACTGACAGCCACAACATGCTACTAAAGCTCATAATCCCATACACATAGATGCGTGACAAATTTTATTTATATGTGTGCTGGCATAAAGATTATGATTCGCATCTTATAGTTGAAGATTATGTTCAGCCGTGATTCAATTCAGTGCACATAATCAATATAGCGTCAGACAATAAATTTGCGGAAATTGTGCTAAATCTTCTCGATCTTCCAGTAGAACTTTTGAAGATTTTCAAAGATAAATAATTATTTAAATCATTTATATTTAACTATTTGCCATCGAACTATTATTTTCGAATGTTTTCAGCGAAATAATATTTTTAGTGAATGTTGCGCATGGATACGGCTTCTTCACCTTTGACGAGGAGGACACGCAGGAAGAAAACGTGCAGGAAGAAAATGTGTAAGAAGTGGACATGGGAGGACTCAAATCTAAAATGCCTCCTCGTGGAAATATTCAATCTACTGACGTTGATGACGGTGTAAAATCTCCAGGAAAATCCCTAATAAACAACCCACCAGAGACTGTATTTTTATATTTTTAGCACATATAATGTATATGTACTTCCTAAATAAAGACAAATCAATCAATCAATTATATGTACTTAACATGTAAACATTATTGTTTGTACCATGACTTTTATTTGAATAAGACACATAATCTCTATAGAGATATTTATGTTCTACCGAGAAATAAATGTTATAAACCTAACACATATATTTTATTTGCCAAAGCAAACGAAATTAATTTCGTTTAGAAAATTGGTTTTATTCGTGGGGAGCCACATAATTTTTATGTTCCCAAACATATTTTTTATGTGTTAAATCTAATTGCAAAAATATATGTTATATAAAACATATAAGGTATACGAAAATGCACCTGGGTGTGGCTTCCAATTAATTTTTTTACCCTCAGTACTTATTGCCTTGAAAACACAGTGAAAACAGATTTGATTTTTTAATTGAAATTGGAAAACTGGTTCGTTGATCTCAATGAGCCCTTCTTAAGTAACAAAGCAGGTTTTATCGCGGTTTTATAGTATTCTACAAGTCTAAATCATGGTCTACAGAACCCTCATAAAACCAAAATTGTAACTTGGGTTTGTCTAATTGCACCAGTTTTGGGATAAACTAGAGGAGGTCTAAATCTAGACCCCTTGTTCACTAATAAAAATTCAAAGCTAATTTTCATGTGTCCCACCCATGAATTTTTGCAATGTGATAAACAAATGCTATATATGTGTCGGACACATAGTTCTTATGTGTGCACATAAAATTCATGTGTAACCTCACATACTATTCATTTGACTCATAAATTTCATGTGTACTTCTGAGTGGATTCTGTTTATGTGTGGACACATGCAAAACCATGTGGAATTTTATATGGAAATTCCAGAATAAAAATGTGTCGAATTTTATATAGGGTAAACCAACCAGAAAGTTTGTACCAAAATGCAAAGTATAAAAAATAATGTGAGGTAGTTTCAATATATATTGTATTTAGCAGCCGCAGCAATCATATATCAATGCAGTAAGATCGGTAAGAGTGAGGTAAAATACTCACGCCTCCACGAGTCATATGATTACAAACGACTATGAGCTGAAACATGGACACAGCTGGGTGGCGTAGCCTGGGCAATGCTGTCATTCCGACAATAGCAAAGTGAGGAAGTGCGACGCAAACACTTGTGCAATAACCATAGTACGGCATAGGAAATGCTTCGCCAACCGCTCTACCCCCCAGCAGCAGCTGATGACGGTATCTACAACAAATCCGATCGAAACACAATCGGGATCACATTTTCCCACCCCTATCATACCCATATCGAAACAACCAGGTCGTTGACCAGTACTCCTGGTCCAAAGCGGGTAATTTCAGGACCGGAAGGTTTATGCTGGTCACAAATACGCTAACAAATAGATTTCCTACGCAAGTGATGAGAAGTGGTCCACAAACCTGCTAGTGGCAAATCCGATGGCAACGAGACCGACGAATCGGCAATGTCAACCAACAACATACGACCGAGAGGACGCCGCCAAACTAGAAAATGGCGAGACGGCAGCGACGACGAGCGGGAGCAGAAATATTAAAAATTACCACCAGTGTTACTTTTTAACCCCCATAAATAGGTAAATTCAGGCATAACATTTGATAACGGCACAAAAGCATTTGTAAACAAACTTTCTAAGACCCTTTACACGCGAACCAAAGTACGCCCACGCAAACCAACAACATTATCGGATAGGGGCAACTATCACCTTTCCGAACGTGGTATTGGTTTGCGTGGGCGTACTTTGGTTCGCGTGTAAAGGGCCTTAAAAAGTTTGTTTACAAATGCTTTTGTGCCGTTATCAAATGTTATGCCTGAATTGGTTTTCATTGCGTTAATTATTACGAAATTTAATGCCCATTTTATAACAGTCATTCCAATAGTTTTTTTAGTGATGAGCGGGGGGTGAGCCAAAATTTTTAATCCGTAGAATTTCTAAAAAAAAAACATCCCTAAAAATCTAGGAAATCCGTAAAAAATTATGTTTGGCCCGTAGATCCGTAGTAAATCTAAAAATCCGTAGTTCTACGGATAAATCCAAACTCCATCGCATGTACTTCAGCCACAGGCTCTCGCCCATCTGCGAAATGCAGCCACATGCATGCTTTTTAACAAACCGCAAAGCGCTTATCTACTTCGCGAAAATGCCTCCCCAGCCTCGGTTACGAACCTGGTCGTGGTTATTGGTCATTACGTCCCTATCTTCTGACAGCAGAGAACGTTGACGGATTCCAGATCAAATGGCAATATGTGACCCGACCAGGCATACCAAAAGTACCGCCTCATGACAGTATTCCAACGGCTGTCCCTTTCTTTTCCCTACGACAGCCTTGAGATTGAGCTATAAGCGACAGCCCACAGTGAGGCTGTTATACGACATGCAACGTTGCCGTCTTGTGCTGTTCACGACAGCTTGTTCTTAGTCATGTATTTTGTTCGTTCGGCTATGACAGCCTCGGATGGTCATTCGTAACTTTCCTCGTACATACAACAAGCAGTCCGTCAAACTGCCGATTCGTTGCTGCTGTCTTTGAAATTTTGTTTGTGTGTCGTAAGACTGCTACTACACTACCAGTGTGGCGCCGGAGCTCGTTCGGTTGCTATCACGTTCGTGCTGCCCATTGCAAAATTTTCATCCGATTTTTTTTTTAAACGCACGGTCTCCGGCGAAAAATATAAGCCTACCCGACACCAACCTGACTTCTACCAAACCCCAACCCGATGTTGGCCCGACATTGACCCGACATAAACACAGAATTGACCCGACATCGACCCGACATTTGGCCGATGTCGACCATAAATTGACCTTACATTGATCCGACATCGGGCCGACATATCTGTTCGGGAACATTCTTCTGGGTTTCTTCCATACTCCACTGCCGTATATCAATTGTATATAATGTCTCGTGACAGCCTTTTCGTGACAGCCACTTGGGTAAGCTGAGGGATGTCGTCGGTTTGTGAAGGCTGTTATGACGACAGAAACATTGAGAACCTGGTCATAAAGAAATGCATAAATACAGCCCATTCGGTTCACTACGTTCCAAGCACGATGATTTTAGCAAAGCGGGTATAGATGCGACTGTTCTAATACAGCTTTCATTCGTTCGTGTGTGCGCTGTTACCAATACACTTCGAATTCAGATCTGAACGTACGGTAGCAAGCGGTAGTAAAGCACACAAAGCAACAGTCAATTCAGGTATAAACCAACTGTCGCGAGGAGGCTGTACTTTTTGGAAGCCTGGACCCGACACAGACGAAATTTTACAGCTGGGAGAAAGACGAAGGAAAAAAACGGCATCACAGAGCTGCGTGGCGGAAACGACGAAACTCTAAACACTTCCGAAGCAGTGTTCACTCGGCTGTCGACAAAAGCAGACCACTCTTCGATGTGTGCTACGCGATCGTCTGTTTTCTCGGCAGCAACCATTGTGTGGTCCTCCTCATTGTTCTTCATCAGCAGTTCTTTCGGTCGATGCGTCGTCGACTTTGGAAAGCAACCGTTTCGTGATGAGTGTGTGAGTGCTGACCACGTTTTGCGTCCATTGCTGCAATGGACGCGCTCTGACCCTCGTTGGCGTACAACAATTTGCCATACAATGAAACTACTGGAAGCGGCTCCAGTTCTGATGGAGGAGGCTTTTTGGATAGCAGAAGATAAAGT